TAGATTTGACCTAGACCGAGAAAACTCAGGACCTTCGGAAGAGTAGTAGTAGTAGATGCTCGCACTACTCAGACACCTCGTCCACCAGTCATAGTCAAGTGGTGCTTATCATCCTCCACCCTATCACAAGGAGGAAATCGTTGTCGCCCGGTAGACGATGAATTACATTCTCCGAAGTGAACACTAGAATACCGAGAACCACAGGATAACATTCGCAGCCAAGAATACTTGATCAAGTGTGAAAGTAGTTGCATTAAATCTCATGACCTGGATACCGAAGAGATCATAGGCTTGACACCAGCCCTGGTGTTAGTCAAAGGGTTATGTAGGAACATACACTTTCCGCACTGAAATAAACTAAAGTCTTCGAAAATCCTTGGACTACTAGGTGTTCCACGAATACTATCTCACCCAGAGATAGTAGAACCACCTCCTGAGATAGTCCAACACTCGTATGGTGAAACCATATCTCCCCGACCCTCAGGGTTTCCGTATCTCAAGATCCCTTAGTGCAGATTCATTTTGCACAAGCTTGAGATAGAAACTTTATAGCAAACAAATAACAGTATTGTCACACAACCCACTCGGCGGTCTAGAAAGTCTCTATCAACCAGTTGACAGCAAACGTGAGACCAAAGACCAGTTGAGCTTTCTAAGAACCAACCTGAGGACTACACACACAGTATGAGAGAAAACATTAGGAACATCGGAATGGCGACCGCGCCAGTGATGATCTTGCCATAGAAGTACACTATGTTCTTATTACTGAAAAGCTCTACCATTCTGAGAGCTTAGGACCATATGAGAATTCTCAAGGAGACTTGGTCCAACCCTTTTCAGGCCGCTACTACTTTCGGATATACCACAGATTCACACTCGATCAATCCAGTTCTTAGACATGATACGTGATTTCCCAACATCACTCTTCGTACCTCATCCATCTTGATAGAATCCATTGAGAACCCTAACCTTGTAGATACACCAGTTGGAACCCACTAGCTACACTAGGCGGAATCCGCATCCCGTACGTGAAGGTCTGTCAGAATGGCAAACACAGACTAGAGTTCACTTAGGAATGCGAGGACAACTGTATAGGAAGTACTCCCTTACCTCTACTTGGCCATTCATGCCCACTTCCTTGCCTAGACCTGAATTTCGGGATGAAATTCCCTCTAACAGGGGGATGATGTGACAACCCAAGTTGTTCCGTTACATTTCCCCGTTGCCGTTAACAGAATATTCCACTGTATAAAAGTTCCGTTAATTAGAGGTCGTCAATTTAATAAACATTCCAATTGTTTACATTAAAAATGCCGTTAGGTCGTGATAAAAGGAAATCAACCACAGGACAAACATTTCCATTTAATTGGAAAAGCTAGTTTTATTATTACGACCACTAAATCGTGTGCGACCAAAAGCCCCGTTTAACAGCAGTATTAGGTAGAATTCCACCAAGCCCCGACTCAAAACCCTATATAAGGATGAGTGGACTCCATTGGAGACTTTTTACACTGTCTCTATATACTCTCTCTCTAGACCCGCTTTCGCCCCGAATCCGCAACCAAACGCTTCCAAATTGTAAGTCCGCTTACCCTAGCTTGCTCTAAACATTACTAGCTGTAGTTATAGCCCCAAAACCATCCAAGAAAGCATGGGATAAGGAGTTTACAGCCCAGGAACACTCTAGGGTCGTAAACCCCTAAAATGGTGCCAAACATGCCTTTAAACTTTCCCTTAAGCTTGGAAACTAATTAGGGATCTAGCCTAGGAGTGTTTAAACATCAAAACACAAAGATTGAGGGCATAAAAGAGAGTTTACGGCCTAAGCACATGCTTAGGCCGTAAACCCCTCAAAACCATGTCAAAGTGCCCCAAAAACACTCCCAAACCACCCTTAGGCTTCATACTTAATTTAGGGACTTAGTATGTGGGATTTGGATCAACTAAACACATCAAAATGAAGGATAAAAAGGAGTTTACGGCCCAGGTCTATACCAAGGCCGTAAACACCCCAAATCATGCCCAAAGTGTGGTTTTGCTTCCCCAAATGGCCTTAGACATTTACCATAAAATGCTAGGAAGGATTTAAGGACTTAAACACATGAAACAGAGGGGTAAAAAGGAGTATATGGACCAAGCAAGTGTCTAGGCTGTAAACTCCCCAAAACACATCCAAATGATAGTTTTAACCCTCCAGAATAGCATCACACTTCATTAGAAATCACTAGAAAGACATTAGGGGCTTTAAACTTCACAAAACTCTAAGGATGAGAGTTTGCGATCGTAAACTCCCTTAGGAGTGGTCCCTTGGCCGTAAACTCATAGAAAATTCCCTTAGAAGCCTCAAACTCACTCATGCCTTTGAGGAAAAGTGCTTAGAATAATTCCATGATGCAAGTAGAAGCCTTAAACACACTAGAACTCATCACCATGAGTTTATGGCCGTAAACTCATGGTGAGATGTCCCTAGGCCGTAAAATAGTTGATAAGGGTTTATTCATGGAAGGTAAACTCCATTCCTTAGCCATTCACACCCTTAAACGCTACTCGGGACACCCAAACACTTAGCCAAAGTGTTTTCTGCTCCTGTGAACACGTATATTTGTTTAATTAGTATCAAATGTGCTAATTACATGTAAACATATGTTAAATAGGTCATTGTGTGTGTTCAAGTCCTTGCGTGACACCGAACTCCCAAACAACACCTTCATCGGACCTACTTACACCAGGTGAGTTCATACCCCAGAATGAACCCTTTAAATGTTTTAACATGTTTTATAGGGGGGAATACAAGTTCAACAAGCCAGTTATCATATCAATCACATGTGATTGATAACCCGCATGTACAAGATTTTACGATACTGTACACTGTTTTACGGAGTAGGACACTATAACGGTTTTCAAAAAGGTTTTCATTTGTTTCAAAATTTTTACTTGTACTGTTTTATCTAAATTCATTCTGAACTGGTTTATGATGGATTTCCAAAGGATTTCAAACATGTTTTTACAAAAGAATACAAATTGTGATTTTCCCGAGTATAAAGGTTTTTCATCAAAATTCACTTTCACGACGTATACTTTTACTTTCTTGTTACTACTGCTTCACTTTTACTTATTTTAAATTCCTACTCGATAACACTTTCACTTCGCGATACGCTTATACCGGATTTTGTCTCTATATCGCTTATACTTGTAGCCTCTTATACTTGATAGACGTTCTTACTTCACTTATTGTCGTCTCTACTTCGTGATACACCTATACTTAGTACACTTATACTTCACGATTCGATTATCCCACCCTGTACGCTTATACTTCATGACTCGGATGTTCCACTGTACGCTTATACTTCACGACTCGGATGTTCCACTGTACACTTATACTTCAATGTATGATACCACTTGATACACACTCAAGCGTAGTTAGACGTATGTTTATGCTTGTATAGATGCTTATAAATAATGATTGAAGGACTTAGGAAGGCTTGTCCGCCCTATTTCCTTTTCTTCGTTGAGATGTGGTCTGGTGGGATCGGATGTCCATCTGAAGGTCGTTCGATTCATTAGTTATATATTATGTACACGAGCATAGACATACGAGTTTTCTTCAGTCAATTCAGTTAAGAGTCTCTACCTCTATATCAGCAGTTACATTAGAAACCCACTACCCACTGTTTGGAAGTCATTACCCACTATCTGGGATGCATCTTCGGGACACGACCTTCTCCGTTGTCTAGTTGGTAACCAGAGTCTCGCGTAGGGAGAGCGGACATTGTGTGTATATATCAATACGAGATTGACACCACCGCACTCTGACTGCTAGCTACAGTCCACGACACACTAAGCCAAGGGGTGACAAATGTCACATTCGCAAGACGCTCGTAAGGGGTCTGGTTCTCTAGTGTCGGTTAGTATGGTTACGAGTATCCCGGCTTACCTTATAATTCTTTGGCCTTAAGGTAATGGTATTTATCCGATAATCTACACTGTATGCTGGTAATTCATTTTCAGAGTCACACTGTTTTGACCTTACATGACGTATCTTTCATTTGATATTGTCTGGGGTCTGTTATCTCTGTTTTGACCTTACATAACGTAGCTTTCATTTGATACTGTCTGGGGTCTGTTATCTCTGTTTTGACCTTACAAGACGTACCTTTCATTTGATGCTGTCTGGGGTCTGTATCCACTGTATTCATAGAATACATTGTATTCACGGCATTCACTGTGTTGACCGCTCTAGACCTTGCTAGACGTATCTTTCATTTGATATTGTCTGCGGTCTGTATTCACTGTTTAGACCCTACTAGTTGTACCCTTCATTTGGTACCTTCTGGGGTCTGTGTCTCCACTTGTTAGACTGAACCAGGCGTGTCGTTTGTTTGATACTTTTCTGGAGTCTATGGTTCTTTGTCTTAGTCAGCAGTCCTCACTGCTGAGGCATATGATATTCCCTGATGCCGTTGCCTTCCTCAATAATCAAATTCAGTATTTTGATAATCATAGCAATTTAGGGAAGACTACTTTTTACCCCACATCACTGACCAGTCTTGGTAGAAGGCTGCTTTTATTAAAGAAAATATAGGATTTTCTGGAAAGGACTTTAATACACTGAAAACTCTTAAACTATTATTTTATTAAGTTATTTGAATGAAATGTCACTAAATGCTTATGAACTCACCAGCATTTGTAAAAATGCTAATACTCGCTTTTCAAATAACTTGTATTCTCAGGTTAGCATTAGATAGGTACATCCCCGGAGTTGTTGATGAAGATAGCTTAGTACCACGCTGTATTTATTCTATTACTTGTATTACTTTAAATTGTTGTAATGTAAACCTTGTAAAACTATTACTATTAATGCAATGTTTTGTTGTATTTGATTACTATAATGCATGTGTTGTGATACTTGACATGACTTCATCCACCCCAGAACGTTTCCGTTGTTCCGGTTTTGGGGTGTGACACACATCCTTCATAGGGTTATTCAAAAACTCTCTAGATCAGCTAGCAACAGTTACAAGCAATGCCTTTTTCTCAAAGGGACTTTTGTCATCCAAAATGCTACCAGACTATATTAAATATATAATTAAACATATTCATTAACAAAACAAATACTTTATTGCAATAGACAATATGAACAATTACTAAAAGGGTACTTACTTTACTTGGAAATCCATGTTGTCTTGTCGTCAAGAAATCAACCATCCATCGCATTACATAATGCCCACTCTCTAAACCACCAAGTTGTTGGTTGCACTAAAAATTATAGCAAAAAATACTTTATTGCAATAGACAATATGAACAATTACTAAAAGGGTACTTACTTTACTTGGAAATCCATGTTGTCTTGTCGTCAAGAAATCAACCATCCATCGCATTACATAATGCCCACTCTCTAAACCACCAAGTTGTTGGTTGCACTAAAAATTATAGCAAAAAGTGAACATTAATCAAATAAATGAAACTACAACAATTATTTGTTTTCGTATATAACAAGATGAATTACCTCAGCAAAAATCCATCCAATTAGAGTTGAAGAGTCTTTATCATACCTCATGAAAGCCTTTAAAAGAAATAAACAAGTGTTTGTGTTCAAAATAATAAAAATAATTATATCGTTCTATGAGTAACTAATTTCTTACATATCCACATGTTTTTTGAGTAGGTAATGGTAGTCGACAGAGTTTTCTATACGATCCTTAAGAGAATCTAAAATATAAACAACGCGATTGCGAAAGGAAATCACCAAGAGCACCCAATGTTTACTAGAAATGTTTAAACATTTAGTATAAATAATAAGCAAAAAATAAAAGAATAATAATAAAGATAACAAATTATTGTACTTTTGCAAATATTGTGTCGAGAAACAATTTTCCGTGGTGCAGACGAATGGAATCAACAATATAACTAACAACACCCTCTGGGTTTTTCTGGCATGCCTCCCCTAGAATATTATAAGGGTTCAAGAAAGCACATTTGCTCATACATGTCCGAAACATTGAATGAAGAATCCTACAAACAAGAAAACAAAAAATGTTATGGTCAACTAATAATAGCAAAATTTTAATGGACATACAATTGTTGAGCAGTCAAGATGGAAGCATTGGTTGTTTGTTTTCTCAACAATCGAAAATATTCTTCACTTGTAACCAAACAATCATATGTCCCGACTTCCAAGATCCCAGAATCGGCTACAATGTTAACCACTGGGTTGGTCTTCAAGCCATCACGAAGATATTCAATCGGCCTTGCCTTGCTGGCTATTTTGTTGGGTATGTTCTTGTTTGTACCAGCCCTTGCATTTGTCGGCAGCAAACTTGTTGCTGGAATTTGTTTCTTAGTTCTTTGTTCCTGCATTTTAATTCATTTGACTATCACATATAATTATAATATGTTCTTTATATAGTAGCTTAAAAATTAAAGGATAATGCATGTACCTTTGCGAGAATAATTACAATCTGGGGCCATTAAATTATAGTGCCAACTACCCCTTGTAGGTTAGCAAATTCTTTTGTCATCACAGGAACAAGAATTTTTTCATATCTACAATCGATGTCTTCTGTCAGAACCTTCAGTTGATTTTCTCGTAAAGGCAACGTGTGTATTAACCCATTCCCATATGGAACGACCAATCCCTTGGCATATTTTCGGTCTAACACCCTGTAGGGTTACACCAATTCACAAGGGGTAGACATCTATAAACATATAGTAAAACAAAATAAGAATAAAAGATCTTTGAAGGATAATAAACAAAAAAAAGTAGATAGTAATGTGATAACTATATTTCAATTTTTAACCACTTTAAGTATATCTATTATAGTTCAAACCCTTATAACAAAACATTTTAATTAAAAGACTAGAGTCTTTTGTCTCGATTATACAACCAAATGGTGATACTAAGGTAAACTAAAACACAATTCTTACAATGTTGCATTTTCTAACACAAATATTATAATAAAATAATTTATGCAAATATAAGTATAAACAAATAAATACAGTAGCACTTCTGATGATATGGAATCAAACAATATTAAACATCCAAGAAAAAATATTAGTTAAATCAGTTAAACAAGTATATTATCACTAAAAAAATGATTAGAAAAACACTAATACTCGGTTTTGTTTGTCATCCCTAGTTTTGAGCATAATTTCTCTACTAACAGGTTTAGTTTTTATTTTTTATATATGTTACTAGAACATCAATACACACATTTACCTTTATCGCATCCAAAGCATCTAATGTTCAAGTCGAGCCACGATTATTTTGTTGAACCGCTAAGCTTAAATCATTTGGGGCATGGTTCCTAGTCACCTACTTCATGTCAAACTGTTCTTGTAGCTTTTCCAATTGGGAGCCTATCAGACCTATGGTTTCTTGTAGCTTATCAATAGTTTTTTTCATGTTTTTCCTCTTTTTTTATTAGTCCCTTGCATCCCTTTTCTCAAGCCAATATCATAACCAATAGCCCTCGTACGGCCCGGGTGCTGTGGTCATTTTACCTTTGTCAACAAGTCCTCTCCTGGACTGAGCACCAAATACCCTTCAGAGATTTGAGTATGGAAATCAACCTGTTAACGAAAACAACAAACCAGTGAGAGTAATTAGTTAGATATAAATGATTAAAATAATTTACTTAAAAGTTTGTCCACTGTGGGTTGTATGGTAGGCAGTATTATGTTCGAACCCAACTCATTTTTAGATTTTCTACCCATAACATAATGCAATGAACGCTCGCTTTTTATCTAATAAAATATGGGTGTCAATTGATCAGATGCCATCTCTTGTTCCCACTCAGCTTTCTTGCCCCTATAAGCAAGTAATCCTACACGGGCATGATTATTATTATGCATTGAATTCTCCCTCGCTTTCTCACCTATCTCCTGTAAATGAAATTAATTACCATAGTTAAAACAATGCAACACAATAAGTAATATAATTATGTGCAATTAAAGTCTAACACACTTGGAACTCCTCTGATGATATTCTTTGTTTAAAGCTCCGCAATGTACTTCTTTCAAAATATGAGTAGGTCTAAAGTGGATCTCTTTGGTTATCACATTTCTTTTTAAGCCTTTTCTTGAAGGCTCTCCACTGGCTGTTGCATGTTCTAAATACATCTTTTTTACGGTTTTCATTCAGAATACTCCAATGTTTCTATTTTTGTTTTAGAATAAGGATACTAAGTATATAACTCTTGATTAGATGAAACTACATGTAATGGGTCTTATGTAGATAAAGAACCTTAGTTGTCGACCATACCATATCTTCTTGAGCAATTGGCACTTTCTTCCAACTCATATATTCAACAGAAATCATCGACATCGTAAGAACACCACACTCGTTAGCAAACATACTTTGTTTCTTCTTAACATGCTGACCAATATTGTTGAAATCAACTTCTTGTGGCTCTTTATGCTCGATTAGTCTTGTGGTTATTCTTTTTTTTCCTCGGTTGTGGTTGTGGTTGTGGATGTGGTTCTAGTTCTTGTTGTGGATGTGGTTGTGGTTCTGCTTCTTGTTGTGGCTGGTCATTCATCATATTTATTTTGGAGGAAATATATAAAGAATAATATGAGACATCATAAATGATACATTTCATGTGTTGTTACAGTAGCTGCATTTTAGACAAGTGTCAAAATTTCAACTGTTCACATGGTGCTCCAAAATGCAGTCTTTGAATCAGTTAGCAAATAAATCATATAAAGTTTAGAGTACAAACAAAGTGTTCATCTATATAAGCTCAAATAACATGTAGAAAATCATGTGTCACCTGATACAAATTCATAATCACAAGATATATGCATTTTACTTGTATTTCAATTCATACATATAACATTTTTTTATTTTTATTTTTTAGCATCAAAAAAATAATTCACCAAACCTAGGGATTCATTAAAAAAAAGCATATAAAATTTTCTTAATACCTAATAGATATAAAGACCCCTACTAGGATTCTGTTTCAATTTCAAGTGACTTGAACTTAATAAATCGTTATACAAATCAGGACAAAACCAGAAATTTTCGACGAGGTAGCACACATTTTTTTCCCGATAAAATATAAAAAGTAATACCAAATTAATGACAAGAAAATTCACTTGTCATATAAAGAGTAGTATACAAAGAGGTTCAGTTGCATTCATATTACAAAGTTTTGATCCTGAAAAGTTTATAATTTCCTCCATAAACATTAACAATTAAAAAATACAAAAACAACATTGATAAAAAGGAAGTCACCTTGAAAGGAAAAATTCTATGTATGTTGTGTCCATCCACATCATATTTTAGATATAAGCCGGAAAACACTCAAATATTGTTAGTCGTGATCAAAGAGATATAATTTGTTTCGATCTAGTCCTTTAGGCATAACATCAAACACTTGGAAGACATAATGAAATAACCCTTAACACTTACCAATATCCGGCAATAATTATTGCCCACATGGTTTGCTCGACAACATACAAATTACCATGTTAAGAAAGATTTAACAAACTTGTTTTGAGTTACCCAATTAGTTTTGCACCTTTCTAATTCAGACTGTCACTCCAATCATACTTCTTAGAAGCTACGACATCATTCACATGTATTAGAAAAATCAACAACAAATCAAGGAAAATTATGATGGAAACCAAGGAAATCCAAAATAAAACATGTAAAAATTGATCTCACATCAGAGATATAATGAATATTGAAATCCGATTAGGGCTTTTTGAAGCTACACAAATCAACAATAAACAAAAAGATGTAAGAATCAAAAAAGAAATAGAGAAATCATAGGTATGGAGAGGGAGAGAGATGATGGAAGTCATTGTTGTCTCTATAAACCAAAAACGAATTTGTAAAAAACAACCATGATATGATGTGTTGTATGGTAAGAATCTACATTTAAAAAAAATAAAGATACTGAATTGGTGAAAGGGTAAGAACTCGAGATGATGGTTGCATGATTCCTCCTACTCGAAAAATATGAAAACAAACACTCGATAACATTTTTTTTTTGTAACAGTCAGAAGGAAACAAATAGGGTGGTAAGTGGTACATGGTGGTGCTAAGAAAAAAATGGCACGATAAATCAAAACCATCGAACATATAAAATTTAGAATCTCTAGTGTAGGTTTTTATTTCTCTAAAACCCATTTTCATAAGATTTGTAAAGCAACAATTTTTTCTAGAATTAATATTTCATGTTTATTCAATATTTGTTTTTTTCATTGGAAACGTGCCATTATATGAGCAATATAATAACTTTAGTGACACTTATGCACGGTATTTTGTGTGGCCGCTAAATTGTTTTCCGAAGAATTCGTGTTTATTTATTTATTATTTTTTTTAGAGTTGTAAGTATTGTTAAATATACGATACATATTTGTATTCATTTAGACAACTACAAGTCTAAAAAATTAATGAGTAGTGAACACTTTTTCCATGTTCAATGACTTTTGCATGCGTAAAAAAGAACATTTATGAAATTACGTTAAAATCACATTAATTTTTTAAAACAATTACACTGTAACCTGTCGTTATAAAAAATAAAATACTATAATTAAGATATAAATAAATTAGAAAACTAATACAAAGAACTCTATAGTACAATAAATAAAATCTAGTTCCTACAACTTGCTGTATGCAAGTCGATCTCCAATAAAAGATTAACTCGGAAAAATAGCTGAATAAATAAATGGATGAACACAATTTGAGTAATATTCTATAGTAGAAATATAAACGGGTAACTAATGTCCCTCTCTGTCATGACTTAGACCGGAGTTCTTCACGTCCCAAGAAATATAGCATCGATCAGGAAATCAATGTCCCTTTCCACCTGGACTTGGACCGGAGTTTTTCATCTCTCCAAGAATCTTATCATTGATGAAGTCGTGTCCCTTCCCTCCAGGACTAGGTCCCGAGTTCTTGATATTCCCAAAATAACCAGCATTCGGGTACTCATGTCCCTTTCCTCCTTCACTTGGACCTCCACCAATATTGATTGGTCAAGCAACTATATTGAAGATTAATGAGGTGAGAAGGATGAGAGAGATGGTGAAAACGTAGTTAATCCTGGCCATTGCTAAATTGGGTTTGGGAATCGATGTAGTTGCAAATAATTAGTTCGGAAAGGAGTTCTTAAATGGAGAATCTAAACAGTGGTTTGATTGCAAACGGAGATTAGAGAGAAAGATGAAAGAATATATGTGGTAGAATTGGCATGAAGGTAATCGTATATATAATACTTATGCATGCATGTTAAAGTAACCAGAACGTGGAGCGAAGCAACCTTACCAGAGGAACCTAAGAAAAAAGATTACATTACATCACGTGACAGAAAAGAAATTTGAACGAAATTATGCTCGGGGTTGAAGCCGCCCGTTTATAATCAGTGTAAGAACAATAGCATGCTTCAACCTTGTTTCAACTATAGAAAAGTTGATGGAATATCATATTTAATTAGTCAATCCCATTTCAAAAGAAACATTTGGAAGAAATACATAAAGTAATAATCTTTTGTAGAGTTTTCTTCTTTTGGTTTGCAATCACTACAAAAAAAAAAATGCCAATTAGTGACGACAGTGAAATGGACACTAACAATAGAAAGAGTTGTCACTAAGTGATTTAGTGACCAAATATCTAGTCGTCACTTTTCATCCATATTTCACGTGGTGTTATCAATCTTCTTAGTTTTAAATGAGTTTCAAGATATGATTTATAGTTACTAGATCATGACTTTAAAACTTGATTAGAATGAAACATGACTCATCTCTTGAACGAGCAATTTCCATCAAAAATTGATTCCTCTTCTTAGTCATATAATTGCACTAAGATGTCATTCGAGGATCAATTGTGATATAATTCCACATGTACTAAGATGATCCTAAACATGACACTATTTACTCTCTTTTCCTTTCGTATTGGAGAAAGTTTTATCTTTATGCTTAATAGATTTTTCTTATTCATTTTGTTACTATTTGAATCTTTTGAAAGTATTAGAATTATGTTTAATCTTATCAACACAACCATATTTACTAAAACATCAATAAATAATGACAAATAAAGTTATCTTCCTTTGTTGTGGATCTGAATAGTCCATATCAACATGTAATACATCCAATAGTCTTTTACTTGCCTCACATACACATGTGAACAATGAATTAGTCGTATTTTTCAATGAACAAGATTTTCTTATGCATCACACAATTCGAATTGTATGACTCCAATTTTCCCTCTAATTGAAACTTGGTAAGATATTTCTTTTGACTTGGTTGATTATGATAGTACCACGAACGATATCATAAGAATCATATTCATAGATAACATTGTCACTATCAAAAACACGATCAACATGTTCATTTATGCAATTACAAGGAAATATAAACTGAGACAACCATATGAACCAAAACTTCATTTTATTGAAAAATAAAATTGGAACTTGTCTTTACAATGCATAAAGAGAAAACCATGTTTCTATACATATTTAAAAGGTAATAGCAATCTATTAAATTATCCTAAATCCTTAACAGTTGCTCCAAATTCTAATCATCAAACCATGTGACAAAAGTCCATCTCTCATGATCAGATTTAGCTCACTCTGCTTAAGCGTCCATGTTTCTCTTAGATCTTGCAATATCATCAAAATGTGATTATAAAAACTTGTATTAAGAGTCTATGAATAGCAACTTGTGAAACAATGGAGTTCAATAATTGATGTACCTATATTAGAGTCATATGAATTGACTTTACCATCTCTGAGATCCTTCAGCTAATTTGGGTAGTTTCATAATCAATGTCCCTTCAATTTCCAGTAGAAACAAAATGGTTTGATATTGGACGACCCCTTCCATTAGTAAGAGAAAACTTTTATGGACAACCAATATCAACATCACCCATTTGAACAGAAACCTTGGAATCAGACCCTATTTGCATCTCTACTTTAGATGTGTTCTTAAAATTTTCTACTTTAGCAACCATCAACATATGGGTCCGATCAATTAGGTTCACATTGTGGTTCCTTATATAAAAGTTCTCAATGAACAGATCATATGAATTTTGAAGTGAGAGAAGAACCAAATCAATGGCTTGCTCCCTTGGGTAAAAGACTTCCATTCTATCCAACTTGTAAATGTACGCTTACATTTATAGAACATGCACACATACAAAATTTCCACTTTGATGTCTACATGACTATAAGGCTTGATAGTCTCCTATATTTCAACTTAGGGAAAATATTACTTTGGGGGAGTCACATGAAGAGGAGGTGTTATATTTGAAGAAGCATGATATCCAATTACACCATTAATCGAAGAAGGGAAAACATTTTCACCTTGATCAAAATATAGAAGACCATCTTCAGAATCATTTTCATA